ACTCCGATGACGACCGGCTCGATAGCCTCCATGACAACGGTCAGCCACTGGGTGCCATCGCTGCTCAGCGCAGTGAAGCGTATGATGAAAATCGCAAAGCCGCCGATAAAGATATTCGAATGTCCACAATATTCGATGAATTTGTCGACATTGAAGAACAGCACCAACACCAAAATCAACCCAGAATAGGTGACCGCATACGTATCGCTGAATGTCCAAATGAGAAAACTGTGAATGCAGCTCCAGAATGTGCCGAATAGTATGGCGACAAGTGTAAGCACGAATATTTCAGGGCTATAGCGACGTATTGCCGACATGGGATAGACGAGCATGCCGGTCTTTGTGTGCCACCCCACCACTCCGGCGGGCTAAGCGGCATTTGCGAGGCAAACAGCAGCACTAATGCACCGATGAGCAGACACACAATGACAAGTATTAGTGCCACCAGTGCGGCGTCGTGTTTCGAGTCACTCGAAAAGGCAAACAAATCGATGGGCGAGAAGAGCGGCACATAAGCGATCGCACCCCAGACATACTGACGGCATACCTCACCGCGTCCCTCCGATGTCTCGCGCACTGCAATGACGATGGCGGTGTTGAGCAGCGTCAATGCGGCCATCACGAAAATGTCGCCCAGCAGGCGGATGGCAGTGTAGCCGCCCAATGTGCCATCCAAGTCGCCAGTAATCTATGGATATGTGCGGGAATTCGTATGAAAGATAGCGAGAGAGAGAGAGAGAGAGATGGAAGAGAGAGAGTTGGAGGTATGATTAAATATGTGACATGTTGCAGATACATAAATGGGGTGTAACCACAATGGCGCAGGCCGGTGCAAATTGCTTACTTTAATGCCTTTGCTGTCGTAAAGATCAATCACTTGACATTCAATCATCGGTTTGCAAGTGCTGCCATTCTTCAGCCCAATCATGTACTCAACCTGAGCGGTGGGTATGTTACACTGGAAGCCATCTGAAATAAGATAAACATTGAAGGTGAATGAGTGGCTGTGGCAGTGTTGGTGGCTTAGTTAATGTACGAATATTGCCAAAATTTTGCAGCGGCTGTACGAAGGTGTATGAGTTTGTACGTGTGTGTGTGTGTGTGTGTGTTTGCCTGTTGGTGTTCATACTTGCAAATTGCTTGCCATTATACACCTTCGTAAATACATATGCCGGACCAGGGATGGGCGTTTTTGAATGAATTATTATTCAAATAAAAAATAAATTTTTATTCATCATTCTAACAATTTTGAATGACGAATAAATTTTTATTCTCCATTCAAGCACTTGCGAATGATGAATAAATTTTTAATTTTTTCATAAATAAATAAATTGAATAAAAATTTATTCGTCATTCAAAATTGTTGGAATGATGAATGAAAGCTTATTCTTATTTTTTTTTTTATTCAATTATTCATTTTCCTGATTACGCCCATCCCTGATTCAGCACCAACTACAGCCACCGAAAGCTGTTACCTGTATAAAACATATATGTATGTATGTATTCAAACAAGCCACTAAATACATATATTATTACCAAATACCTGCTTTAACATGTAATTAGAACACAAACATTCAACGAAAGTGTTCGGTATGGATGATGTAAGTACTATGTACAATTTGTATGCACACTGTTGCATTACCAACAATATTTGCATGTGTGTGTGTGAGTGTGTAACTAAACATGGGTGCAATATAAAGCAAATGTGGTAAAGTGTAAACGACATAGGATGAGTAACCGCCACATAAAAACTGATATGTATGTTAGCACATACTTGCATACATACATAAATATGTATGTATATATAAGTAAGCTCATAGAAGCCTAGTACGTATGTACATAGGTACTATACAGCCATGTCAGCAGCCATCGGTGACTGCTAGTCAACTTATTAGTAAGTAATGTTGGCACTAGGACTACAATCTGCTCTGCTTGTTTACTGAATGGTGCAAATTCATATTAATTTCAGTAACAGAAAACAGTTTGCTTTCTAAGCGATAGGTACATAAGTACTTAAACTTATACATATATGTTTGCCCACCTGGTGTACTTGTACCCTAAATGCGTGTGCCTGTGTGTGGAATTTCGAGGCTCGCTGTTGCTTACTTGTCTTAGCAACATTCGCTGACCACTGCTGATGCTGCTCAACCATATACCGAATAAACACCTATGTATACTATAGTAGAGCAACGTGGTCACCAAGCGACAGATATGCTTGTGTCAGTCATTAGTTGAATGCTGTGAGTAGCCATTGCAGTGGCAGACGTGTTCGCTGTTTGTGTGCGCCACTAAGTAAGGCTTGTTTTAATGAACGCGATGATTATTCAGCCATGCGAAGTACGAAAGCAAACAGGCGCACCCGGTTTACAAGTGCAAACACACACACACACACACACATATGCGGCTAGGCTGCACTGAAGCATTTAGGCGTAAATTTGCAGCAGACTTACACAAGTATATTGGGTCATATGAAAAGGATCAGCGAATTTTCGTCACTAACTTGTGTTGAAGCTAATACATCTGGTGGCACTAATCCATCAGATTAAAGTGTGTTTAAAACGTCTTTTCATGAATAGTTTCGAACCAAAATGATCTTAAAACTAGTCCTGAAATATTCCTTGAATTGTCCCCAAATGATACCGAACAAGTGCCGAAAAGTAGCTGAAGTAGTCTCAAAATTGTCCGAAACTAGGCCTAAAATGGTCTTCAAAATAGCCTTGAACAGATTTCGAAGAAGTACTACAACGATGCAACTATGAAGCTACCTGAAAAATTACAAAAAGTTCATACATAATAATGGCCCAAAATGGCATTGGTTTTAATAAAGAATTTGTTTTCTTCAAAATTTATCAAAAAATTTGCCCCAAATATTATGACCCAATATAAGGGCATGGATGGTTATGTGTTGGACTGACTGCGGCTGGCTTAGGCTTTGCTCCTTTTACCATCGCACTATCCAAGCTGCCATTGCCATGCTACCACCACCACCATACCCACTTTTGAGTTTGACGTAAGCTTGTGCTTGTGTGTGTGTGAGTGCACCTAAATGCCTAATGCATAGGCCAGCTCACTCCTCCACTTGGTTGTTGATTTGCTTGTTTATATTTGTCAGTTGCTCATCTGCCTAACAGCCATATCGCATACATACATATATACACGTATGCAAGCTTAGACATTAGACGGTCGGCAAGCCACAGCAGGCAGTTGAGCAGGCACGAGTAAACACCGTGCCGCTGTAGGCCGGCTATAGGCATCAATGAACAGAGAGTTTCGTATTTGGCTCTCCCCCATGGCGACTGATTAAATGCCAAATGCTTTGTACCTTTGTGTCTGCGCATGTGTGCATGTGTATGATTGCGCTTATTAAGCTCGCCAGTTGAACGCACAAATAACGTTAATGCATTCATTGCTACAAAGTATGTGCACAGTATATATGTAAATAGATTGATTTTGCATTGCTTGTTGTTGCTGTCTTATCAGCGTGATAGCGAAGGTCTCCAAATGGCAATCATATATGTAAGTGTACTGAATATCAGATTTGTTGCATTACATGTATGTATGTATGTATCTCTGACTTCACCTGTTCATGTTCGACTGCCAGTCATAGTTTAAATACAGAGATACTGTTGCAGCGTTACTATTACAATATAACTGCTTAAACTGCTAGATTAGTTAGATTTGCCTGTAGAAGTGTACCAATGTATGTATGTAATTGTGCTCACTTGTCTACGAACTATTGGTTTGAATGTCTGCGAACTCAACTGGGTAATTGGAAAGTTTCAAACCACATCAGCCAATAGTGAAGGAGTAACACGACTGTGCTAAATATAATCTTGCTGCATATAAGAGAAGAACTGATATGATCATTAGTAAATATACTTCCATCTAAGAGTTTTTCAGTGTATTCTCAGTATACGTTTTTTTGGTCGAAGTTGGTGGCACACTTATCTTAGAAAATGAATTGTTTTAAGTTTTGTATAAAGAACAAGATTTCAACGCAAAATTGTATTTAAATGAAAACTTAAAAAAGACATACTAAAAAAAGTAAAAATAACCACTGGTGATCATGTACCCGTAGTTGCGTATGTAACCTATTCGCACGTTTGCTCGCACGCCTTAACTTCAAAGTAAAATTGTTTAAGAGTAACTAAAAATTGGCGGGAAGATTTTTACACAGTAATGCACATATATATTACCTTCTTCATGTATATAACAATTTTATAATGAATTTCGAGTGTGCCAATGAAGTTTGTAAAAATGGAATTTTAGTTCCTCAAATCCTAGTCCCCTTTTACTCAATTTAAGTTTTTTTCCTTTGATGACACACTAGTCTTAGTTTAGTGGTTAAACCTTACCCAAGCCGATCGTAAAACTTCCAACGCAATTTTAGCTTATGTGCCTGTGAGAGATCTGAGTACTTGTGTCTTTTCAAAGCCACTGGAAGTACGCCATCATTACCTTTCAAGTTAATGTTGAGTTCCCCGAGACTGAGCGCTTGTTTAATACCTGCACTGAGCCCGGACTTACACGTTGTCGAATCTTCACTGATGTCTCCAAAACTGACTCTGGGTCAGGATCCGAGGTCTCTTGATCGCAGTTAATGGGAATATGTTTTACTTCTATTTTAGGGAGTATGCTTTGGTCTTCCAGGCTGAGGTATTTGCAATCCTCAAGGCCATGGACTACGTGGTAGAAAATAGGTGGAGGGGAAGGAGTTTATCTTTGTTTAAAATTACATTTATATTTTTTCTCTCTGACGCCAGGATTTATTTTAAAGGGCTTTGTAATTTGAAAGATATGATAAATTCCAAAAGTTATTTAAAAAATTGAATGCAATGTAGAATAAAAATATGGGTATCAAATGAAAGAGAAAATTTCTTTAGAATTGCAAAAATTAAAAAAAATAAATAAATTTTGAGCTGATAAAGTTAGAAGGACGAAATTCGAGGATGTTCTGGAGTTTATATAAGTCCTTAACATATAATTTTTCCAAAAACAAATATTGCGAAATTTCAAAACCAAAACTTATGCACCAAAGAATTTAATCTGTTTAAATTCTACAAAATTTCCTATTTATATTTATACCCTTATTTCTTCTCTAAGCACATTTCACTGAATTTTTCAAATAATTTTTAATTACTGACGTCAGAGTGAAAAAACCAAAACTCTGGTTTACTATATTTGGCCCAGGGTTTCGCGAATATAATAATTTTTGGGTGTAAATTTTACTATTTATATGCAAAGGGAGCTAGAAATTTATAACAAAATATATGTTATTAAATAAAAAAAGAAATGTAGCCAATACTGGTAAAAAATTATTGCCATCATTTCAAATTACAAATCTCGAAAATCCCGGGATTATTTGCCAAGAATTACGGGATTTTCGGGACCTAAAAAAGGCCGGGATCCCGGGATTAAAATTTCTAACCAGAATACATTGATAGAATCTGGCTATTTTGTGTGCTGTACAGTGTAATAAAGACACTTTCCCTGAAGAAATTTCTAGCATAAAATGCAGCAGCCGTTAAGCACTGAACAAAAACAAAAAAACCTGCAGAACCGGATTTAGTAGACCAATTTGCCTCATATTCATAACGCAAACATCAATAATAAATGTCTACCAAAGGAATTTGCTAATAAAGCTAAATTTGATTAAAACGAAACCTACTTTTCAGCTGTGAAAGTTAATCTTTTAGTTTTTTTGCCTAATTAAAATTTTAGATCAAATGTCCTGAAGGAACACCCTCATCTACTCGAATTCGCCCCAGCATAGTAAAAAAGAATTACGTGTGCGAATTGCAAACGATTATTTTACGCCACATCAGCACAAATACGCTCCACATCAAATAATGGGTTCATTAGGGTGCATCACTCTCCATTAAAAAAAATTTGGTACGGGTTTTCGATCTACAGAATTTATTATGTTTTAAGACCTTTGCCATATTAATTTCAGAGAAATGTAAAGTATCAAGTGAGCTGGACCAATTTGAAGGTACCTCCAAAACTCGCATTATTTTGATTCTGTTGATAAAGTGTTCAAACATTTTCAAGCAGACCTTTTAAGATTAAACTTTTAAATCTCTTTTAGATATAATAAATTTTTTATAATTCCGGCGGCGCCCTAGTGTTCTAGTTATGTATGTACATATGTATATATTCAATAATACTTATGTGCCATTTCTAATGACCATCAAACACATTGTTAACTTACCCCAACACGTCCGTTATCATATTCTCTGCTCGCTTGAATAGTCAATTTCGCTTTGGAATGCATGGCATCTGTTAGGGAATTCCTCTGATGTGAGCCCCCACCGGACGCCGAACTCAACATGGAGCCATTCGCCTTTTGCGTTGATGTTTTGCTGCGAAAGCAGAACTCGATAATGGCCACAAAGACGGCCACTAAGAGGCCACCGATCAATATATAAAATATACCAGCCACATTACTCAACGACAATTCACTGCGTGATGTCTCCTGATTGTCCTTGTTGAGGTTGCATTCCGTTTTGTCATACCACCATTTATTGCGCAATTTTATCAATTCACCATTTTCTTTCAGCGACAGCACAGCCAAATTAATCGGATCTCTGTGCGATTGGATATTAGACCAAAAACTAAATCGAATAAATTGATATCAAATACGAATGCGAATACAAAAATAGTTTCATCGAAAGTTTGAGTTGAATGATTGCATAGTTGTTTTTGTTGTTGGTTTGGTAGGTGGTTGTTGGCGAGGTTAGTCGGTCGGTTGGTTTCGACAAAGTTTGAATGAGGTTAGTGGGTTCAAAGTAATTGGTTGGTTGGTCATTTGGTTTTATTTATTTTTTCCAATTTTTGTTTTTGTTTGTGTGGCATTTTTCAATGTTTAGCAGTTATGATGATGATGAAGTTTTTCCACACACACACACACGCACGCACATAGACATTTCGGTTTCAAGCAGTGATGAATGTACCACGATGAGATGAGTTGAGTTGTTGGTGGCATTGATGTTGTTGTCCAAAATTGTATGTCCATATTATTCCGAGTGGCAGCAGTGGATGAGAAAAGAGAAAACAAAGAAGAGAATACAGCATAATGAATAACCAGAATAACCAAGCAGACAAGGTTTAATTGTGTCGAAAACAAGCAAGAGCAGCAAGAGCTGCAGCAACAACAAACAGAAAAACCAGAATTTGCTGCATGAACTGATGAGCAGTTTCCTAGAAAGTTTGGTAGTCTATGGTGCCATGTGGAAGGCGTCCATTTCCCAGTATGTATATATATTGCTACACGCACTACACAGCCAAGCATTCATTACATATCACATAGCGCATATCTATGTATGTATGTATACATACTTACAAGCGAAAATTTTAATAAAGAAATTCCTATGGCGTACATTGTATACCGTTATGCTTGTTGCCTTAATTGCAGACTGACGTGGTTCCTGTTGCTATTGGCAGCCAGTCAACAGTCAGGCTTTGATGTTTGTCGGTAGCCATGCGTGCGGTTGCGGCAAAAGACGCGTTCGCTGTTTATATAAATGTACGAGCGAACATTTACTATATGTATATGTATTCGAATGTAAGTATTACGCACTGTGATAAAAGCAGAAATATGCCTGATTGTAAGCGATTTAACGAAAAGGTGCAGAACTTGCCGAGCCGTTCTTTTGGGAACAGATGTACAAACATGTACAGCATTTTTTGGAATTTTTACATTTCTATCGGTAAGTGAGTATTTAAAAATTTTAAATTTCATCTTGCAAACTTTATAGGAGTATCTCCAGATTTCCCTAGAGAAAAGTATCTCAATATTATTTACCTGAAAAATAAATTGACATAAGGCAAAAGTTTCCCTTACCCTATGAATACCTTTATACTTCATACACACATACATGCGCAGCCTTTTTTCTTTCAACCAACAATATGTCGTCGCCTCAGAAAACGGATGACGAATGTGCAAAATCACGATTTTGGGATTTTGATGCAGATTTACTAAGTTGGACATGCTCTTTCGATTTCTGCAATCCATTTTTTTATATCTCCATTAGTTTTTGAGATATTTCGTGCGCATTTTGTCGTATGTTACATAATATTAATGATTGGGTATGCCTTTTGTTGTATGTGCTGAAAATGCGTCACATACGACAAATTCGCATACAAACGTACCTTTTTTTTAATCATAAAACGTTTGTCGTATGTGGCACATACGACAAATTCCCATACAAATGTAATCCTTTTTTAATCATAAAACATTTTTCGTATGTATCGCAAAACTTTGAACTTACGACAATTGGATGGTCCTCTACTATAACGATACAATTAAAATTGAAAATTAAACTAAGTAACTAATTTTAAAATTTTAAATTTTTAAATTTTAGCTTGCACTGAGTCTCCAATGAAATGAAAGAGATAAAAATGTACAAAAGACTGAATTTAAGTATTGTTTTTTGTTTTTATATAAAGAAAACGTATGTTCGTAACATATTTACAGCATAAGAGATGTACAGATTTTTTTTATTAAATACATGATTATGTTTTTGTTATGTTTTTTCTAATAAGCAATCATTATTTAATAAATATGTCTGTTTTTTTCATCAAATTATACCATCGTCGTTGAAATAGATACTTTACTATTGTCGTATGTTCTGTGGACAAAACAAACTTGTGAGTAAACGCTACTTACGACAAATGTATACGGAATGAAAAGTAAATTTTCTCATTAACGTTAAGAGATATTAAATGTAAAAATATGGGAAATCAAAACTAATAACACCAACTACGTCTCCTTCAAAAGTTACAAAAATCTACCGTACAGTTTCGGACTAATTCGACCTTAAACTTCAAAGTCAATTTTCTCAAAACCGTGTTTTGTAACATTCGACATCCGTTTTCTGAGACGACGATGTACCTCTAGTCAGGATTACTTGCTGCTCTTTGCTTATTTTCACCGACACCTCTTCACCCTTTTTACCACATAATTTGACAGTATTCAATACAACTATGCGCGCCTATACACTCACCTCAATGGTGATCCGATTGGCGTTGCGATGCCAAATCCTTTCGTATCCAGATTACGGCCGACTTTCATCGTATCGCATGGTTCCCTGGCATTTACGTATTCATTCTTTGGTGATTCCATCAATAGCGCATACTTGCCTTTTGACGTACGCACCCGACGTATGCCTTCATCGTAAGTGCTCACAAAGACATGCTTGCGCGAATTCATGTACTCCCACATTTTATTATGTAAGCCGATTTGGGATCTCTGCGGAAAAAATGAAAGTGAAAAAGAAAAAATAAAATAAAATAAAATTGAAATAGATTAACATGCATAACAAATTTATATACATACATACATATGTACATACACACGTGTTGATTCATTATAAATACATTATGTGTACAAAAATTCATATGTAATACTCGTTGCAAATATGTAGATCCTTTTAAACATTTATGTACATTAGGGTGACACACCAAAAAAAAAAAAATTGCGGTTTTTAAACTGGAATTATAAAACCTATTATATTTTAGGACTTCCGCTAAAATATTTCGGAAAAATATTAAGATTCGCATTTAGGCCGATTAAAAAATACCTCAAAAAATCTGTTTATTTTGATACCGTTGTCAAAATTTTTTAAATATTGGTATGTAGCCTAAACTGTTCATCTGAGGTGATTTTCTGGAAAAAATGCTTAAAATTAATTTTATTTTTAAAACACTCGATATTTGGAGACATATTCAAATCGGTCCAGCAATATTTCCCTAAAATTTCAGTTTTTTTTTTTTGTATGGAGAGTGATGTACCCTAAAGCACATCTACCGATATGAACCTATACATGTACACATACATATATACAAATAAAAATAGGCATGCATAAAACGCCATTACGGCCGTACCCAAGCACCCTGAAATGGTACTTTACCATGGATGTGTGCATTAACTCAAAAACATATTTATGTATGTACATATGCATGTGTGTAGGCCTACATAGTACGGCATATGCCTACTTTAACATACGGAAGTCGGAAAGAATGGCTACTGAAAATTGCTTTTGTGATGCCGCGTAGCTTTTGCCAAAAAGAACTGTTGGGGCGAAGAATTTGTAAAAGGATCTTAAAAGTGTTCGGTTGGCCAAAGCGGGGGTGTCTTGTGTGGCAGAACGGAAATATTTGGAAAAATTCGTAGAATTTTAATAAAATGCGCAATTTTTGTATGCGGATGCTGATAATTTTCTTATTTTTTTTTTTGCTGATACCTTTGTGTGGGCACTCCATGCGTGGATGGCGTCGAAAATTCAATTAAATTAATAAATTTTCCTGCATGATGAAATATGTGAGATGCTTGCAAATACATAGTTCGCTCCAACAGAAAGTGCTCGAAGGAAGTACCCGTAGCTCAAATTGAGTATGGAATATTTTGTACAAATAGAGAAGATTGTCGAAAGTTCTGTTTATTGCTAGAACGTGTGCAAGGATTTATTGAGCTTTTGTTCGAAACTATTTTCAATTACGAGTTTTAGTTGCTACTTGATATTCAACTACATTATTAAACGGCACGCTGTTGACTTTCAACTATAAAATGGTATTTTAATTAGCTGTGAAATTTAGTTAATGAGTTTAGTTATACTCCAACGCAGGTAGTGTAAGAAATTTGTGTGGAAAACTGGGTGCCTAATACTGAAGCAGTGGGTGTATGGTCTCTTTGGCTGATATAATTTGACCAAACCACTTAAGCAGATGGCCTCTAAGTCTGCAGAACCCTTATATGATAATCTCTCTCTGATAATCCTTAATGTATCTTTAGAGAGACTAATTAATTTAAAGCCCATATCTTTTTAGATTTTACCAACCTAGTATGCGTTTCGTTTACCAACGTCTTTTGGTACTTTTGTCACATTCGAATCATCGTTTTTGGAACCGCGGCAAGAAATGGCTTAGCTTTGTGGGAGTGGAGGCCGCAGCCTTCCGGTCTAAGCTGTCGTCTATGATCTGGTGCTCAACGTGGCTGAATGTCACTGTATTCAAGGGCATTAAGCATCTCAATGAAATCCGGGATTATACCTAATTTAACCTCAAGGGACAAGAGAGCCTTAAGTGTTGCCTAACTGTCGCTAAGAATTAAGATCAGCTAAAGGTGTAGACCTTCGCTTGAAAAATTTCCCATAGGCAAACATGGTTTCATTACGAGGCAGCCTTTGGATGTACCAATGACTTCTATGGTTTTAAAGACGTCTGTGCAAAACAGCAGAATGCTTAATGCATCAATTCGATTCTTCGGCTCAAGTAGGGAGAGGGGGGAACAACTTTCTAATCTTACAAAAATTATTTTCTAATAAATCAACGACACATGCTTAAGGGACTACGATTTGAGGGTTAGCACCTGAAGTGTTCAGATCTTTAATTTGGAAAGACCCTCTGCTTGGCTGGCTGATGCCTTCGCGAAGACAAAGTTTACATCCGCGGCTTCCAAAAAATGTTCGGGACCAAACAAGGGAATGAAAGCAAAGAACCTTGCGATGTACAATTCTGCTGTCACAAGAACCGAGGAGCTTATTTTAGGTTCTAAGACATTTCGCCGCCAAGAAATGGCATTCGCCCTAGTGCATGAGCCTCTCCGCATAACACGCATCAAGGCGAGGTTTTTGGAGTGCGCTTACGATTGCTGCGCCCATTACGATATCAAAATCGTGGAAGGCGATTAAAATGACAGGGTGGGAAAGGAAGGGATTTTTGGTGCCACCGTTAAAAAATTTAGCCTCCATGACGAACAAACCGTTTCTAAACGGCTTCGCCAGGGCTTTTAACGAGGTGTTTTGCAGCAAATTATTTAGAAGAATATGATCGGATTAATGCATGCTTGCAACTGGAATTTAAATGTGCTCTGGCCAATCCACAAGGAAGGAGGCCATACCATATGCGTCAATAAGCGATTGTTCTTCTGTGGAACATCGCTGGCAAATCTGTATAAAAGGTACGGTGTGAAAGGCTAAAACCCACCGTAAATAAACAGATTGAACTTTCTTGGTATGTCTTTAGACCTGGTAAATCTATCATTCACCATATTCTTGGAGGTGATCCGTGCGAGGGCGTTTGTCGAGTTTAAAGGCAGTTTCTATATTTCCGCGAAACTAATACGGCTGTATGAAGGTGCTTTAAGCAAAACAATCAGCTGCGTCAGAGTTCGGAAAGACCTATCTGAGTCTGTTCTGCTTTTTCACAGATTGGTATGAGCGAGTGGGCCTGGAGCGAAAGGAGACAACATGCTTCGTTTATTTGAGTACCAGCATTAATACTGATAACATTTCGTGGTCCGAAGACTACTAAGCATCGACCTTGAAACAATTGCTACTGTGGAGTCACTCATTGCGCTCTGCAGAAGTAGAGATCACATAGAATGTAGTAGCCTTTCGAGTGTTCGAGAAAAAGGTTTGCACGTTGGTGACAGCGAATACAGCAGACTAAGGAGCGTATGAGCTTTACAAGTACATACACATAGTTCAGCGAATTAAAATAAATTTCGTACAAATGGACACAAAAGCTCCAGGTCTGCAAGCATTCGACGCGGACCAAGTTGCTGGCTGCAGTTGCGATTTGCTTGGCATTTCCAGTTGGCGTCTTTTGCTTCAGAAGCGGAATAACTGGCGTGTTTTATTGAACTCGCCTAAAAATTGCTTAGATGCTGGCAGCGCCAAACAATAAGAAGAATCTGTTTGGGAGAATTACAAATCCCTAATTGTTCTGCCATGCAGTTTTCTTAGTAGAATGAAAGGTATATAAATAAATTTTAATTTAGACCGAGCTTACGGGTAATTCTATCTCTTTCGCAGTTACTTTGCATATTCAACAGACTTTGAAATATTAAACTAGCTAATATTAAACTAGAGTTTGCAAATTTTTCACAAAATTTAAATACATACGTACATACATACATAACAATAAATTCAAATGTAAGTATGTAAATCCCACGCAAGCTTTGTAGTAGACTGCTTTACGACAAGACCGCGCTATGAATGATGGCTCTCAAAAGTATGCCACAAAAAAAATCATTGACGTTTGAGTGGCATGCACTGCAATTATTTCTGACAGTCCACAGCTGGAGCTGCAACCAATTGCAGCACATAAATGAACATAGTGGATAATAACCAAAAAATCCACGGACACAGTATCTACATGTGTATGAATAACAACATATGAATGGGGGCCGCTAACCAATAAAACTTGATTTTGGTGCTGACATTTGAGAGATGAAAAGTAAGTTGAAAAAGTGGTACGTTTCATACATGCGAAAGTGTGTAGTGGCAATTTCCCCTTATCCGGTCCAATCGGCTCGCAAACTTCCGATTTGAAAAGGCATATACTAATTTGACTAGAGTTTGATATTGCAAGTTCAGCTGAGTACAAGTGATGCTCACAATAAATGTTAGATATCAGATACTATGGAAGCATATACATACATATATATGTGCCTTCTGCAGCGAATTTGTATTTGAATGTAATTTAGAGCTTCCTTCGATTTTTGGGTGAATTACTGCAACAAAAAAGTCTCCCTTGGCAAGCTAAAATTCGAAATGAAGCGAAGAGTTTTCATTCATAATATTTCAGGGTAGTACAATGGATGATAAGAATGGTTCTCCAACTTGATTTTGCATAGAGAAAGTGCATGCTAGATTTTAAGTGGATGTTCACAGCTAGAGAATCCCTTTTTGCTGCAGTGTTTTTGCCATATTCTGATTTCTATAAGACCACTCGCATCCACTATGTTTGCTTACTTGAATACCCAATGCACAACATCATTTGCTCATCCTCAGTTTTCAACACTGCCACAACATCGTTTTTATTTATGTGTATCTCCTGGCGAGCATACGCCACACAGATGTGCCACATCAGTTGCCTATTTACTACTCCCACCCACCAAGATTCAGCTCAAATGCTGCTGTCTGCTGCAACTTGTCTGGTACGTTGTCATTTGTGCTGACAACCAGGCTCAGTTCACTTTCATCAAATTTTATATTTCATATTTTTTTCGTACTGGTATTGATTTCAGGCAATTACACGACATGACAGCGTAAATCAATCAAAGAAAAATTTTATTACTGCAACTTTCAGAATCAGAAACAGAATCAGAATCGTCAGGACTAAAGTGCTTCGAAGACTTGGAAAGTCGAAACTTATTTTATTTTTTAAAATTTTTTTTTTTTTGGTATTCTTGATTGTAGCAAAATTCTCTTTGCAAAAAGATGCTTCCATACTCAGCAACATGTGTGTGTGTGTGCACATCAGCGCAAGCTTAAATTCAAAGAAAAAATTCAACTCGTCGTAGTTGATGTGTGTGTGTGTGTGTGGAAGTCACATCACAAATTAATCAAATGTGTCGGAATATCAAAAGTCAGCAGCATACATCGATAAAATTAAATTTAACAAGCAGCTGCAGTACGTATGAGCGTATGTATGCAATATGTGTGTGTATTAAGGCGCATCACTTTCCATACAAAAAAAAAAAAAAAATGGGACTGCTTTTTCGTTGGAATTATAAAACTTATAAAATTTTAAGTTTTTCGCCAAAATATTTATTTGAGCGGACCTGCTTTGAAAGTACCTCCAAAAAATTTCATTATTTTTTTACGTTGATACAATTTTCAAACATTTTTATGCACATCTTTTAAGCTTAAACTCTTCTACTGTGTGAGGTTTTTTTTGGAAAATTTGATTTTATTTATAAGAAATTAAATTTTTGTAGTTTTTTTTTAAACCGGTTTAGCTCACGTAAATCTTAATACTTCTACGAATTATTTAGGTGGAAGTCTTTAAAAATTATATATATTATAATTTCGGTGAAAAAATTGCGACTTTTTTAGTGAGGCATCCTAATGTTCATATGTATGCAAATGCTAGCGCATGCATCAAAGCTTGATTTAATACCCTGCAAAAAGCGGGACTAATCCGGGATGACTCCGGGAGCAATCGCAAAGGAGCATGCGACTAATACCACTTTTGATCTCTTTATATGGAATGAACTGATCGCTTTTGTTCGGGCATGTCCTATGAAGAGACTAATTGTTCACATTTATACCCGAAAGGGTATAAAAAGCGACTAGTCACTTTTAAAAAATAAAAATAAAAATTTTCGCCAGCTGAGATTCGAACCGGGGTGCTCAGTTTTATTAGGCGAATACTCTCTCTGTGTGCCAACGCCGCACATGAAATTTCATTGACTAAGAGCGTACATATCATTAAATCGTTAATAGTACCCGTTAGAGATATGTTGGGGACTAATTGATCTCCAATTATACCCACAAGGGATGAGTCGAGACTAATTGACCTCCATTAGTACCCGTATGAGACTAGGTGGGACTAATTAATGCCCAATTGTACCCGATTGAGAGTAATCTCGGAATACTCTCTTTAGAGATTAGTCGCACAATTTTTTGCAGGGTACTTAAAAAACACGTACGCTTACGTGGCACAGGTTGAGAAATCATCATTCAAACATCCGAACACTCAAACACACACACACACTCTTACAGCTGATACAGAAACTTTTGAAAAGCAAAAACTAACTTGAATATTCAGCAAATTAAATGAAGTGAAAAGTTACTTGAATTTTCATTGGCATCAACGAGCAGCCAATTAATGAAACTTCTGAGATATTTATTTTATTTTTTTTTAACGCATGCACACTCACACTCGAAGCAAACATGTAGTACTTGTAAAAAGGTCTGTTAACGTTTAATGCACGGAATCGACAATGCTTGATTTAATTGGCACCACTTTTGTAATAATAATTCGTTTATTTTACCTTTTAAAGTGAACATTTTTTTCGACTTACATAAATTTATAAATGTAAAAGTGTGTCGAGTACTCAGTATAAGGATACAACAGCAATCACTAGGCGCAATGAGAGCAATTCAGTAGTTTTAAACTAAATAAATATTTTTATTTTTTGCTTATTTAGCTATATTAGATCAATGCATTTTTGACTAATTGGAATACTTGCCACGAAGATTTAATATTTTACTCTTGTATTTTTTATATTTCCAGTAAACAATTTACTACTCTCTTGTAAGTATATACAGATTTAATAATTTTTTTAATATTCAACAATTTTAATTGAGCTCGAGGCCGTTTTTTAATGAAAACTTATTGTGGAAAATCAACAATAATTTGAAAAAGTGGTAGAAGTGATAGCTATTTCGGAAATCACCACATTTCCTCATCAGACTTCTTTCATTATAATAAATAGTTTTTTTAATAGTTAATTTTTTCTTTTTTATTTTAAATTTTATATTTATTTAATCACTTTAAATTTTGGATTTTTTTCTTTCTATATTTTTTCTTTTCTGCTTTTTTTTAACTTTAATTTTATAACTTGCTACACTTTTTTTATTCTCTTTTTAACCGACTTCAAAGAAAGGAGAAGGTTATCAATTCGTCGGAACTAATTGGTTTTAAAAAAAAATTTGTATGTGAAAAATTTTTCAAGAAAAAAAGTTTAAAATATGTACATTTTTTTATTGAGAAGTTTGATGTGTGTATGTGTAATTTTTTTTCAAATTTTTTCCTCGCCCCATTCTCGAGATATTTGGAAAACTATTAAACCGATTTGTTTTTGTTTTTATGCTGTAAAGTTTTTAAAAATGTATTAATCTAGCTCAAATTTCATATTTGTTTATTATTTCTCTTTATCCATCAACCCCCAAAAATTGGAAACAAATGAAACACATGAAGTGTGAACGCCGTCTATTTGGATGTGGAACGCCCCATATACATATATATGTATATTTTTTTTTTACATGGCTGTTATTTTTGGACCACGCCAACCGATTTCGATAATTATTTTCCTATCGGAAAGGTTTTGCCTCAAGGGCGGTCCCGTACTAATTTCGCTTAGATACGACCATATGGTCATGAAGAAATTAACGGTACTATGTTTTTTGCTTAAAAATTACTCGTTTGAATTTACTTTTAATTACTAGACTGTATTATTTTAAAGAGAAAAATAAATTTTTTTCTATTTTTAGAATTTGTTGTTTTAAAAAGAAACATATTTCTTTTATTATCATTTAATTATTAGAAACTTATCTTATAAAATTCTTTTTTTTTTAATTTTAAATTTTTATTGGTTTGAAAATAAAAACATATATCTTTTAATTTCACTTAATTTTTAGAATATTCATTGCTAAAAGTCATAGGCCTGTAGTTATAGTCAAAATAAGTCAACTTTAAAGTTATAAACAACTTTTTGACATAACTTGCAATGGGGCATCTGAAGGCATACTTTGGCATTAAAGATGGCATATTGCAGTTTACGGCGATGCCTTTTTGTTAAATTTGACTTTGAAAATACGCCGTAAAAAAGATGTCAGCCAAGAAATTTCCCACAAGAGCCGCCGCGGCGCATTCTTGAAATTTTAATAAGAAATTCTACATCCTAATCTCATCGTACCCCTGCGGAAGAGAGGGTTGTCTGTTAAGAGCCACGCAGAAGCGACACGTAAGACGAAGAGTTCCAAGTTGCTAAAGCAGTGCAATACGAGAAATCCCAGATACCCTATCAATGGCCAAAGCTGCGTGATGCCGAGAGAAGAGGAATGAATAGGAGGTCGGGAAATTTCAGTCCTGGTGAGCCCACCATCACTTACCGTGAGTAAGATCTTGGAAAAGATCCTAGACTAGACTTTTGGGAGTACGAAAAGAAGCTGTCTCCATGTCCAAACGTCTGAGTAGAGTGGCTTTGAGCACAATTTTGAGCTCTGCTCACTCACTCACTGTCGTGTGACTTCTTCAATCTGGTCGCATAAAGCGTTAGACCAGCTGAAATCCATCACTGTCCATTTTTTCGTGAAATCTACGAAAATGCTATTACTGTATTCGAATAGCTACAAACGTAGAGTATACGTCGAAAAATCAGACTACGATGGATTCTGTGATAGCCAGCACTATTTATATCATTGAGGTCTAGACGAGGACCACCATTGCATAATTTTTCAACTTAGAGAAGCTGGTAAAAGAGTGTTATGTCCAGAGGTGGATGAGGACAAGGCAAAGTAAGTATTTCGTTGAAAAGATTTTTCGACTTGGAACTCAAAGATGGACACCAAAAGCAAGGGCGCCCACAAATGCGCTGGAAGGACCTGTCGGTACTTGAAATGAACCACTTTGCAAATGAAAGAGCCCAATAGTGAAGGTCTTTTTTTGTTTCGGACCAAGCTAAGTCCAATATGTATAGCCGGATAAATGTTTTACAGCAATGCGTATATACACACATAAATTATACGCTCGCATAACGCATGCTCCCAATTGCGCACTGAGTCAAATATTTACTTCCGCTACATCTTCAAACACATCCTCATAGCTATACCTTCACATATATGTATGTATATGCACGATTTAGTGCAAAATCTATGCGCTCAATTGTATGTATGTATGTAAATACTTACCCGGAAGAAATCCCACGTAGAGCCATGCAACAGCGTACCATACTGCACTTCCGTTTGCATAGCTAAGTCTTCGGGTGAATTGATTGGTGTCACCATTCGTTCAACTGTGAGAAATGCTGCCAAATTGGCTGTGTACGATGAAATTAGAATGAGCGTGAAAAACCACCAAGCGGCGCCAACTTTGCGACCGGAGATGGAACGCGGTGATATGTCGCAGCCCTGTTGCATGAAGGCGGCCAAGGCAAACCAAAATGAATTCAAAATGCTAAACTCGTTGACCGCTGCGGTGGCGGATGTGCCGAGGCCAACACTTCCGGGCACACCAACAGCACCTACCACACCGCCAATATTGGCCGGACTGGCAGTAGCGCTGGTCGCACCGGTCATTCGACCGGGCACAGGTACACCGCCAATGATGCCAGGCGGCTGTTGATTGGCCATTTGTTCGTGATGTGCATGCGAATCTGCAGGAAAAGAGAAAAGAGGATTACATATCGTACATATATATATATATATATAGTAAGATAAGTAAGATGTGGGTAAGCAATAATAATGGGGGGGAAACGATAAAGTTCAGCATTCATAGATTAAACACGAATAGGCATACAAATATATGTGGTTGCGTATGCGTGTTGACTTGTTTACTCTGTATAGTTTATTTGTGTATTGGTGGCATTAACAGCAAATTGTTGGCATTTATATGCAGCTCAAAAGCAGCAGCCGTTTATTACCGGCGCTTGTGTGCGTACTTATGTGTGTATGTACGCGTGCCTGTTGGGCATTGTGTCTGCTTCATTGGTTATGGCGCTAACGAAAAGGTTGTCTGTCACTTCTTAAATTGGGCGCCTATGAATACCGCATATCGCACGCTGAGCGCGGCACAAAGTCAGGGCCTGCATGCCACATAGGCACATGCCAAATTCTTTAGCATGCTATGTGCTCTAGTACGTGCGCTGTATGCCATATGTGGCAAGGCATTTGCGGCATCTCGCATTCAACTTTTGCCGTTACTACTATTTTTGGAAGAATTTTCGCCATTTACTTTTTTCATACCATCATTCTTTCATAGCTGTTATTCCTTATTTTTTAGTTGCTTTTGGCAATTTTTTCTACATTTTTGCCCTTTTGCGCTGCTTCCGAATTCCTTTTTAGTATTTAACTATGAGTTGAACACGCATACGGATTACAAGTTATAACCTGGCAGGAAAATGTATGTAAAGTAAAATATAATAAAATTTTTTATTCAGAAGATTCGCGCCAAGCTCGTTTCGATTTTTCTAGATTAAGTAAGGCTGGTTTAGGTGACCGTCCCCAGTTGAATATATATTTGGACCATTTGTGATACCATATGATTTTGAACGACAACCACTACTCAATCGATGAAAATCTGCATGCCAATCGCGAGACCACTTGGTCCTGGGTTAGTTGTAAACTGCAAAAATACTGAAATCTTAAGTTCCCTAAAGCTGTACAGAATACAGTGTCGAAGTGGTTCCATCACATCATCCTCCAGCTAACTGAAGTAATATGGTTTATATGCGATTTTTAGTCTCAAATAAGAAGCTACTTTAAACGAAGAACCTTCAAACTGCACACGTTCTAGATTTTTCCCAGCCTTCAAGGATCTAATTTAAGTCCCACTTCCCCAAAAGTGAACCCCAGGTCGTAAATGGCGCTCAAATATACTTCTTTCCCAGTGATATCGTTTCAAGGTTATCCTTTCTCGCCAAATCGTCAGCCATGCAGGTTTTTGCGACACAACTGAGAGAGAAGTGAAACACTTCCTGCGATATTATTAGCGCACCCTTAGTTTTGAGCTCCTTCCTTATTGGCGTTACACTCTTGAATAATGTGTCTAGTGCTACTTTAATTCCAACATATGTGCCTGGGAAACGTCTGGAAGCCAAAAAATTATAGTGAAACAGAGTTCTAGAATGTCCCTAACAACCGGTTCACGAATATTCGACGAAGAGAGCTGCAGCTTTTAATAACTCATTGCCAACCCATTTTTGTCCGAAATGACAACAAAATTTGAAATACGCTACTAATACTAAAGACGACCGAATTCTATGTATTTGATTAGCGTATCTTAAGCAAATGCCAGTGGATTGAGTCCCATAAAGAATAATAGGCTTCACTAAGGTTTCATAGAGCTAAGTTATTACTTTAGGTGAGATACCTTATCTCTTACCTACATCTTTTCTTCTGAAACATAAAGCAACTGATGACTTCCTATTTTATTTTTCAATGTAAGGTTTTCACCACAGCTTCTTTTATAGGACAAGGACTAAGCACTTCATCCTCTGAGAAAACGGCAAGCGAATAAAAATCACAAGTACTTGCTTGAGAGTAAAACCAGTTCCGTATGCTGATCAATAAGTCTCTCTAGCGTCTTCAGCAGAAATAAAGATACACTAATTGGCTTCAAGTCCTTAGGTAAAAACTAGATCTCTTTCTGGCCTTCGCAATAAAAAAAGCGAGCGAAGACCCTCCATGCACGATTGCAAGCCGACCACAAACACCACAGCTCTAGATATATTTGACGGACTTAAACAATGCAGTGAAAAAGGAGGAGGATATTGTTTCTATACAGTCATGCAATAAACAAACTCTGGGCTCCATAGTGTACACAGAGACTTTAAAAGGCATTCACTCAGACCTGCAATCAACTTCTTGAGCTCTCGCCTTGTGAATGCCTTATGTGGAGCCAAGCTTCATATGCAGCACTCGAAGGGCTACCTAGCTGAGCATACTAAATAAGTACCTATACAGCTAGTGAATTAAGTATTACATTTCCCATCAAATCTACACAGCAAAGCTTCTCTTGTTTCGGTTTTAGTCTGACAAAAATAGAACAGCGATGGTTTTAAGCACATATCGTGATGCTTCAAGAATGCGCAAAAAAGTGAAGCAGAATCCAAAAAAGAGGTTTGCTTGCTGTTTAGAAAGAAAGAGGTCCAGTTGTAACTTGCGGGGTGTGTTGAGTGGTAAGAAAATTATTCAAGCAAAGATTCCGACACAATTGTACCGTTGTTGCCTTTGCTGAAGACATACTACCACAAAATAAAGAGTTACATCAGAAAGGGTTTGTGAAAGTGATTATATGTAGTTTGGAGCTTTTAAACGATATGGAGACAAATCGGTGGAAAAAGCTTCTCTTTTCATTCGGGAGAGGATATAATATTCTTATCCTAGGTAAATGTAATAATTAATATCCATAGCATTTAGAAGAGATAATAGTTAGAGCGGCTGGTTATTGATAGCATGCACTTAATATCAAGATGCCCACTTTGAAAACCATTCACTGAAACTGAAAGCTCTATACTTTTGATAATAACAACTCGAATACCGTAAACGAAAGAATCAGCTATTTAGTTTTGATGTCAATGGTAACACAAGTAGATTTCGTCTCATAATTAAAGCCAAGCATAATTTTACCCTATGAAACCGAAAAACTTTTATATTAAACAAAGGATGCGTTGGAGCTTTGCGTTGGCATTAACGATTATGACATTTATAATACTCGCTTACCGAAAATAAAAATTCTATTTGAGGCAAAGATCCAGCAGTATCCCCTTCGAAACCGAACTAGAAGCTGCAGCCTTAACTGCCTACCATTCGATTTTCCTGCAGACTGCAAAAGTAAACTTGTATGTATGTCGTGATTGTTTTTCTTGTACATATGTATTCGACGTCCGGCCGGTTCAAAGCACCATCATCCCACTAAGGGCCGAACTACATAAATGTAGTAAGTGAGGATGATGAAATTTCGTTAGCAGCACGAAAAATTTTGTTGGCCATTTTTGGTTACAGACATGCATGCACATATGTAAATACATATATGTATATGAAAGCATATACTACATATGTATGTGTTTTGGCGCCTTCATGTGTATATATATGTAGATAGGAGAAAGCTTTTAGAAATTAAATTAAGGCACAGCCTTCATCTGATAGATGTTCTGCTGCTGCTGCTGTTGGTGCGAAGCAACAACATCAACAACGTGGAAATATTTCAGTAAGTCAGACAACTCGTTGGCATTTGCATGACTAAATACATACATACATATGTACATACATATAGCAAACTATATAGTAATAGTGCTTGTACCCACACTAACACATACATACATATGTGCATATGTACATCTGCCTGTAATGCTAGGTTTTCCATGACTCCTGGACTGCTTGTCCGCCCTGCTTGTCCGCCCTGCTTGCCTGCATCCTATGTCACTATAATTTGTGACTTTGATGTGTAGCCAGATTAGAACGAGTGAATTAAATGAACGCATCCTAATTGAAAGGATTTGTGATTTGTGGCCAGGATTGCTGCTAAATTGCCAATCGAATTGTCCGTCGCACATATGCACATACACACATACGTACGTACGTATGTATAGAATTAGCTACGAGCATTTTAAGTGTAGCAGCAAAGGGAGTCTATGAATTCGTTGGAAAGGAAATCGATTGCCGAATAGCAAAAGAGAAGAGACAAAAACAAAAACAAAACGGAAATTTAAATTTTAAGTAAAGTACTAAGCTTGGTAAATATACAAAGTGAAAGTTTATTGAGTTGTAATTATTTAAAATTGAAGAACTCAGCTCTATGCGATTTTAATTAGCAAACACGAATTTTGAAATATGTAAGTTGACGGAATTAATGTAGTTAAAAAAAAAATTAAAACTGTTAAACCTGAATTGAAAATTTTATTTTTGTTTCATTTCACTTGATTGATGAGAGTTGAAGATACAAGAGTAGAAACAGAATGCAAATAGAGATTAAATTTGTGCGATTTTGAAGCTTCCATATTCGCGTTCGTAAGACAGTTTCTCCCAGGATGATAGTTAACGAAATTTAAAAAAAAAATCAAGAATGATTCACAAAACAGAGTAAATTAAAACAAAAAAAGAAAAATAAAATTAATAAACTTTTTAATATACCAAGTTCTTGTAAAAGTACTAAAAAGGAGAAATTAATTTTTCCTAGTCTCATAAAATTTGTTTCGATAAATTTTGATTTTAAGATTTTAGCAAAAGTCATTATCTATTAAAAAAGTTTGAGATTAATAAACCTAGGATCGTGTAATTTTGCAAAAGATATTAAAATGATTCAACGATATTCTGATATAAAAAAAAAAAAGTTTCAAATGTTAAGCTCTCACCCCTAGGGTTTTTCTGAATGGAAAAAATATACCCATATTTGTTTGTGTTTAGATATGTACATAGTATTTCAAAGCCCATGAAGTTTTTCATGTATCTACTGTTCTAAGGGGACACTTTTTTGTAGAAATGGTATAAAATTCTTGGATGTTTTCGGTCGGAAAACTCGGTTTCTTTTCAGGACAATTCCAGTAATAATATACAACTTTTTATTTTACCATTTTTTAATACTAGATAACGATTTTTTATGGGTACCCCCATTTTATTTTTTGAGGATTTGGGGGGGGGGGGGATATAAAAAATAGTTTTTACCCATATAAAATATACGGAAAACTTTGAGCGCTTTGAGCGGCCTATTTGAGCAGCAATTAATTTCAATTCAAAGAAATGCATACAGTGGCGTGTCATTCAGTTTAGGTGCAGCTTAGTGCATATTTTTAGGCGCATTAATAATAAGGCGGATATGAAACATTTAAATACTTCCGGCGTATTCTATGTTCTTTGCTATAATATGTATCTCTTGCAATGATGAGGACAAACAAGAATCCGAAATAATATAAAAGTGGTAAAAAAGGGGGAAGCGATTCTTGCCTTCTTCTGAACAAGATTTTTAAGGCGTTTTTTTTTTGGTTTGTTTGCTTATTCTTTGGCTCCCAATATCCATCAGTCAAGAGAAAGGTGAGGGTCCAAGATTTCTAACTTACGGTACAACTTTGCACTAAGTACTAGCCCTAAATTACGACTGCTTTCACCAGCAATTTAAGCGTTAACCTGCTCCTGTCGTTGCTTACAATGCTGTGATCCTTTGAATACACCACTTTTTTTAGTTTTTGATTTTTTTTTGTGTAAGATGATTTTTAGAATTCAAGTTTTATGCGTTTGGATATGTAATTCAGTTACCTGATAATGAATATTTATAAATATGATAAATATTTTTTATGCAGTTCAACAGTATTTACAAATTAATATACTCTTGCGAACAAAGAAAGTTTTGGTGGTTTATTTATGTTATATATTTTTTTTTTTAAGTCCAGCTCATTCTATTACAAACACTATATAAACCCACATTTTAAACCGTCTACAAAAATTAAAAAAAAAAAAATTCTCGCGAAAATTTAATTTTTTTATTTGAGATTTTTTGCAAAAATTTTAGTTCCATTAAGAGATCACTCACTCCTTATCTTGAGAGTGTAAACATATATTTTTTTTGACTTTCGTGCTGTAGTGTGGAATTATTACTTCGACTGTCTTGCAAGAAGTTAATGCACACCACAAGGATTTCGTCTTTGACGTCATAACTAAAAAAGGAAAGCAATTTTACCGCCATTTTAGCCATCTTGCATCACTTCTTGGGGTTCTCTTCGTGTGTACTATCTGTAGTAAAATATTCAGAAAAGTTGGTGCACATCGGAAAGTGGAGAACCGCGAGTTTTTCCTTTTTGCTGTCTTCAGTTAATTTACTAGAACTTTAGTATATTTGCGAAACACTGAAAGGGTAGTCAGAAATGTCAAGAATACTCCGAAGTCTCTATGCCTCTCAAACATCTTTTCAACGATACCAGAAGTCCTACTACGATTTTCTATGGTTCTCTTGTTTTTTCATAGTAGGGTTGTCATTTTCCTTATTGCACCACGTGGTCCTAGATCTTTTTTTTGTGCTCGAGAGTAGACGTGAATTTGGTACGCTAAAAGCGGCTTGCTTGTCAAGATCTCCATCGCCTACTCAATATATTCAATTAAGTTGAGTCAAGAGACATCATCTTAAAAGCTTTTCAAGATACTTTCGATGAGTTTTATGGAAAAATTATAAGCAGCTGAAGTAATAAAACAGCTTTCTTGCTTTATTTTTTAAATTTTCTTGACTTTCGGCTAACTTATATAAATTTTCAAATAAGATATTGTTGAATTTTTTGTCTCGCTCTAATTACTACACCTAGTATAATTTCACCATGGATGGGTTCAAAGCTTTATTGCTAGAACTGCTGCACATTTGAATGTCATTTAGGGGTTGGGAATAAACTACGCTTGTGTTATTAAAAAGAAAAATATTTATATTAGAAAAGTTTCACTCGTTATTGCTTTCACAAATGCATTTCGCCTCTGAGTAATTTTACCTAAATTACAGCACATTCATAACATTTTGCGAAATTTTTAAACAAAATTATATGAAAACTCAAAAGCGCTGCTCACCAAGAATTCATTTTCCACATTCCACTTGTAATGCGTATGCACATAAATAAGTATAACTACACGTACATACCTATTACTCTTTTTAAGTATGTATGTGCATGCATTTGACAAATCCATTTTGACGTACAAGAAGCATTCCTGTAACACTTACCTGTCTGATATTAAACAATGCGCCATTCGTACGGTGAGAAGCGGGAAACAAAGAATAGAACAATACTAACACCAATGTAACTGAAAATGACGCTCATCTGCCCGCCCCGCAAAGGGGTGTGGTAGAAAGCAGGAAAGTACGACGACGATGATGATGATGACGATGACGATGATGGCACCGGCAACAGCATTCGCATGTAAAGAGAAGAAATTCACTTTAAGTTAGTAACTTCCAATATTTCATGAAAATGAAATTGCAAAAAAAGTTAAAGCTCTTTCACATAGTAAAAATTTGTCGGCTGCATTTCGGAGTATTGCTTCAGCAACTTCAGCTGGCGGTAGACAACGAAAAAAATATATGCAGAAATTGTTTGGTTTGGAAAGGAAGTGAATGTGTTGGAATGTATATAAACCATGGAGCGATATGCGTAATCACAGGTAGATCATTAATCCCAAGCGAAAATTCAAAACACCTTAGCTTCGCTTGATGCCACAAGCCATTACAAGCAACTAATGAAAGAGGCCGCACTGTGTTCTATTTTGTAAAAAAAAGGAGCAAAATCAGATATCGCGAATGAGAAGAGATATTTAAATAAATGTAACAGCATTTTCGAGCTTTTTAGGTGGAAAATTAAGAAAAATAGTCCCTTTGGATAAAAGAATTACTGTGACCTTTAAAATTACCTCCAAATATAGTAGGTTTAATTTTTTTTTATTTTTTGACCTGAAAGCAGTATGGCATGAACTTTTTAAAAGTATAAATACACGTTTTGCCGTTCGTGCGTTAAGGAATTCATTTACAAAATCCAACCCAAAATTTTTCCTTTAAAGGTATAGTAGACCTTCTGAAAGTTTTTATTTTTATTTTTATTTTTATTTTTATTTTTAATTTTTATTTACCTAAAAACAGACTGCAATGAACTTAAAAAAAATCGATCATGGAAATGGAGGCTGTGACGGAAGATCTGCTAAAATAGGTACTAAGAACTTTTAAAAAGTATATTGCATACTAGTTTCTTGTCAAAAAAAAAGAGAAAGAAGTTAAAACCCTCTCTTTTTGAAGTCAGTTTAACAATCAAGGTAATTCTTCCATCCAAGGAGACTATTTTTCCTGAATTATAAATTTAAAAATCTTTAGCTATCCTCGGGTTATTTGATTTTTCCAAAATAGAAAACTGTGCGCCGTAACTAAAAAAAATAAAGAGTCTTAGTTTTTCGTCAAAAGAATTATTAAAGATTTATATACCAATCATCTCTTATCTCAGTATCGGTGTTTTTTGTCAAGTTCGCACTTATATAAAATGTTGAATTTCTAAAAAAAAATATCTTAGTATCTAACCTCAATTAGCTCAAACCATTTGTATCTATTCTTTTGTTTAAATTTCTTTAAGCTTTGCCTTTGTTGCCTTCAACTAATTGTAGCTTAAATTAGAAAGTCACAATTTCTCTTAGTTTAATCTCCTCACCATTCGCATTGCACGCTGGAGAATGGGGCTTAATTTAATTTCCTGTGAGTAACCTAAATTTCTTTTCTTGGACTGATTACCCGCTGCGACTTTCGCTTTCACTTAGCTTGTTAGCTTTGTTGCCATTTGTTTTTTTTTGTTATTATTAAATTGAAACGCTTTTTATTAGCTTCACAACTTTTGGTATTTGCAAAACTTTGAATATTAACAAAAACATGGAGACATGTGTGTGTGTGTGTGTGTGTGTGTGTGTTTGTATGAGCCTGTGCCGCATGTGTACAAATTTGTTTGCTCAAGAGTGTACACATGTTCAGTTGCAAATAGACACACATAATCGAGCATATACCTTTCTATATACATACATATAAAAACGTACATACGTAAGCTGGTTTCTGTCTTGCTTGCACATGGATTTTAATTTCATACAAAATTCTGTATGCACAATAAACATAGGCATGCATGAGTACAAACACATACACACGCGCACATATTAAAGGGGCACGACTTTAAACTTAAAATAATCTACAACCTTCGAGACTTTTTCAACACGTTAACCTCGAAAGCTCCAGAACGGATTTCGACAGGAGCATTCTCCTTAGTACTTTGAATTTTTATAGGGTTTCCAACCAACTAGAAAATTATAAGATACGCACCGCTCGTTGGATTACCAAAAATAAGGTTTCAAATCAAAGGGCTTGGCCTCTAGATATTCAATAATGGGTTTTTTAATTGGGTTGCCACCTGTTTAAAAAAAAAAAAGACCTTCACCATTCGTTTGACTAAAAAATGAGGTACCAAATGAAAATTAACGATCTTCGGAAGTGCAGAAAGTTTTGATGTTTTTTGAGTGGGATAGCTACCTTTTTAAAAATTTCTTTTTTTTAAAAAAGTTCTTTGTCTTTTACAACATAATTTAGCCGACACTGGCAGTAGATAGTTGGAGGGCGGTGCAATGCTTTGAGTGCTGCTTGGAGGTCAGTACAGGTCAGTACTCCTGCATTTCCATGGCCATAAGAATAGCAAATTCATCGGCTTGGAATACCGAGGAATATTTATTGTGTAAAAGTGTCCAACATAAATATGTTTTTTCGTCTTTTCGCAGATGAAATATTTATTTTAGGCAACTTCGTGGAATATATGTGTATATATGTATGCATGTAAAATTTAAATATACTTAAAAAAAATTAAATGTTTCAAAAAGTCTAACCCGCAAATTTTAATATACGCATCACCTTGTATGCGTCTATTCAGTATGTTTACTGGCTGGCATTAATGTGCGTGTAATCTGCTTACATATTTTTTTTTAGCTTTTAATTTTTCCCAGCTTGTCTGACAGGCAAACTTTTCACCTTTAACGAGGTCACAAGTAAACAACGAATACTCCACCAACAAACAAAAGTAAATATTTACCCAGGCAATTATATACATACTGTATATGAGTAATAACAAAAACAACTAATGAATATTTGTAGATATCCGCGCAGAAACTTGGCAACTGCTGCGATTAGCCTCAGAGCGTGTAATCTGTCGTTGCACATTTTTGGGCGTTCAGCCTGTGACCTTTGCTTATACTTTAACATGGACGTGTGTGTGTGTGTGTGTAAGAGCTATATTTAAATCCCAAATGCTGTGCCTGAGTATGTTAAAATGTTGTCATGTAAGCAAATGCATGCATATGTACATATCGAGCCCTAACCGCCAAAATAACGTAAGCGACATTTTTTTCAAAATTTTCTTTTTGATGCAGAAATACATCTAAATGCTCTAGGAATATTTCTGCATCAAAAAGAAAATTTAGAAAAAAATGTCGCTTACGTTATTTTGGCGGTTAGGGCTCGATATGTATATATATATGTATGCTTGGCATGTGGTTTTATTTTTGTGAGCATATGAGTGCTCAGCAGTGTTGGAAATTTGTCAGCTTGTGGCTAGTAATATGGCGCGCTGACTGACAGGTAAGGGGTGTGGATTTAAATTCGGTTGTTTTGATTTGCATATACATACATATGTGTAGTATTTTAGGCTACATATTTTAGACTACATAGGTGTAGTACTACGTTAGGCTGGTGCAAAATATTTTCTTTCAAGCCTTACAAGAACTGAAATATATTAGGAAGCTGCCAGAATTTACGCGAATTTTCCAGAAAGCGTCCCCGTACTCGGTTTTCTGACAAAGTAGGGGAAGATGGGCGAGTATAATCGGTCCTCTCTTTGTCAGAAGTTGCCACAATTAACCCGAAGAAGCTTTGCCTGTGAAATCTGATAAAGTGTCAAACAATCAGCCGTTCAACCGATTTGAAAATTGAATAAGCAAAAACAAAAGTTCATCTGTTTCGTTTTGAAAACGGGGTTTCATAAATGGAGCAGCTATATCAAAATTCCGACAAATGATTTTCGGAATGTGATTCGAACCAGGGCGCTACTGAGTTTTAGTAAACAGTGCCGACCGACCACACGGCTACCTGGGCTCAAAGAGCGTTGAATACACATCCTCCTTGCCCGCGGTTTTGCGTTCTCTATTTTAATTCATATAAGCTTTTATTCAATTTTCATTGGATTTCTATCTGTTGTACGTTCTCTAAATTTTGTTTAGTGTTCTCATCGAAAATGCTCCCAACTCGCTTTACTCTAGGACTTAATTCGGATCAACTGCAGTTAATTCCTGAGATAATTCCGAGCTAAAAAGTTGATCTGGATCAGCGCTGTCGTCTGTCTATGCTTTTACGCCTTTGCGAAAGCATAAAATACTTACATATGTACATATATGTATGTGTATGTACTTCGGCACTTTAAACATTTAAAGTAGTTTAGACATGAGATTTAATTCGCTTGCATGTGGTAGAGTGTTCCAATTTGCACTGCTACGCACACAAATTCAT